CTTTGAACAGTGGGCTAACCTGGAGAAATTTTAATATGTGTAACTGAAAGAACTGGTGGAGAAATTATTTGAATTTAGCAGGCTATAAATGCTGTAATACATATATACATACATTCTTTCCCCTGTATTTTTATTTTCAGATCCACCCTGCTATTTGTGGTGTTTTTAACTGTTTTTAACTGTTCCCCTTATAAATTAATCATTTATTGATACACAGTGCTGTCACTCCAGGATTACAAATTGCTTTTGATGCCAGAATATCCCTTTGGCTAATCCAATTTTCATTTTGCTTTTGTTTGAAGGAAACTTGTGGGCATTGCTAATTTGTATTAACAGTGAGTATGAATATTATAATATGTATATAATAATATATTGTAATACACACACACACACATCAAATCACACACACACAAAATATCATTAACAGTGATATTCTCACTGTAGGTATGGAGAGACGCCAAGGGCAGTTTATTTCATACAAGAGCAAGTGCTTGTATTAGGAAATACCTTAAAATAATTAGGGTTACATAATTATATGTAAGACTAATTGGAGGTAGGTCCCATTGGTAACCAAAGCACTTTAATAATAAAGAGGCCATGGCTTGATATTTGTGCTGGGGTTCTAGAAATGTAAAGGCTGTAAAGGAGCAGGACTTTTCCAGTAATGGCATCTTCCGTATGAAATGGGATTCTTTGTTTAGGGAAAATTCACAGATCCTTTCCTGGTTCCGTTCTTAACTTTTGTTCTGTTGAGACCAACTAAATAACATGCTTGCTGCTGTTAGCTCTTTTGTTAATTGTGCTATCGTTGTTTTAATCATTCTTAATGTTAATTGGCTTGTCTTGCTGATGGTACAATAAACAACCCATTTATTGTAATTTTTTATGAACTACCTTAAGGGCCTTTTTAAAAAGGCTGAATTGATGGATTTTCTCCTCATTTGTCATACCTCTTTCCTGACTGCTGATTTTATTATTATAAACCCTTTGTTTTACTTTCTAAATATGCTGTTAGCCATTCAGGGAAATAAAGGACATACATTTACTTGTTGTTGATCAATAAACGGCTAGGCAATTCAGTGACACCGGTTCTTATCGTTACTCTTGATCGAATTACATTCCCCCAAAAGAGATGCTCCATGCCTTAGAGGTTTTCCTGGACTCACAGCGCCTGCTTAAACCACAGATGGTTGATGTGGCCAGAGGAGCCTTTACCCATTTCCAAGGGCTGTGCCACTCTCAGCCCTATCTGGGCAAAGACATCTTGATCACCACGTAGCTGGACTACTGTAACACACTTTTTGGAAAAGATTTGGAAGGCTATCTTTGGAGATGACTCAGAAGCTGCAACTGTTGCAGAATGTGGTAGCCAGCCTGCTTATAGTCAAAACTGATTCTGCAGGATAACACTGATTTCAAGTCGCTGCACTGACTACCATTAGGCTTTCCTGTCCAGTTCAAAGAGCTGGTTATTGTGTTTAAAGCCAAAACACAATGTAGCCCTGGGATATATCAGGAACTATATTGCCAAAATTTAATCTGCCCACCTGCTTTTAAAAGCTAGAGAGGACCTGTTCTCTAGCTTTTTCCCATGAGAATACATGGAATCTGGCTTGCGCAGCAATCCTTTTTAGCAGTTGCCAGCACACTATGAAGTATGGTGGCCCCATGCATCTTTTTGGTTCACAAGACTGTGAAGGGCTACCAATATGCCTTTTGGCCCTGATTTATAGTGGGTGAGTCTTGAATTCAGGAATAATTATCATTGTTATTATGCTACTGATTTTCATTTTAGTTTTTTTTTTTTTTTTAACTGTAGGTCTCCCAGAGTATTGGTTGATTGGGGGCAATTCATAAAAACTGTAAAATATGATTACTACTAAAGAATAATAATGAACATGTATTTGTATTGTGTATTAACCACCAGGAGTCATTTTTGGAATACAGTTGTATGTAAGACCAATAAATAAATCGTTTTTAAAAATAAATTTATTAAATAGATATATTATTTGAAAAGTTCCACAATGATCCTTAGCATGGGGGCTCCGCTCTTAAAATCTAGAAGAGTTTTAGGTATTGGATCTGGAAAAGTGACTGTCAGACCCATTAGCCTACCTTTTCCAACTTAGGGGCTTTCATGATATGTGATTTCAAGCCATGATGCTCATTGCTAAGAATTCTGGGAATTGGACTCTACACATTAGGAAGGTAGCCAGGTTAGGAAGGTAGCATTAGCCCTTGGCTCGTCTTTTCACACTACACCCCCTCAAATTGAAGGCATTTTCTCCCATCTAGGCTAAAATTAAAAGCTTTCTGAGTACAAGACTGTATATGTCTAATCAGCTGCTTATTTGAAGTAAGTGGTGAAACATTAATGAGCATTCCTTTACTGAGCACTGCCTTTACATTTTCAAGGGGGACAGGAAACAATGCCTGCCTTCTCTGTGCCCTGTGAAAGACAGTGTTGGGGACCACCCCTTGATATCATCCTGTCCATCAGGAGTGTTGAAAGCATTTGGATCCGTCCCTGCATTACATTAACTTTCCCAAAATGAATACCCTTGATGGGCACTGGATTGATGAAACTTGTCATCTCCCGCCATCTGAATGACAGGAGTTATTGCCAAATCCATTTGGAGCAAATCTGCTATACCGCCCTGTTGTGGTGTGGCCCTAAGAGTAATTGTTCAAGAATAGATCCCAGTGAGTTTAGGATTGTAATAGGATGTAATTCTATAGGCAGTTATCTGGAATAAGCTTCATTAAATAAGTGGGATTTAGCCCTAAGAAAAGAACCCACAACAAATGCAAAATGTGTGATTTACATAAGCTAAGGAATAGGAAAGTATTTCTTTTATATACATAATTTGTCATGATCTTTAAAGGAACTTGTTGCAGTAATTAAATTTATACAGTAAAGATTTCACCCAATAAAGGATTATGACTTAGCTATTAATTTATACACTGTGATAGAAAGAATATATAATAAATCAGTAATTGTCTCTTAAAAATCAGTCCTGTAAAATCCTGTAACTTAGAATGTGATGCATGTGTGTGAATCTCTCCCCCCCCCCCCTTTCAACAAAAAAAAAAAATTAAAAAAAAAAAAAAATAAAAATAAATAAATTTTTTTTTTTTTAAAAAAAAAAAAAT